CTCAGGAGCTATTTTAGAAGTAAAATCAGCAGGACTGAATGATTCATTAGATGCGGGGAAGCGCAAAAGTGGGGTAAGAGGCCAGATGTTTAGCTTGGGCAGCTGGGCAGCTGGGCAGATGGGAGTGTCATTGGCTGTGATATGGAAGATGATAAGAGGGACACACCTGGGAAGGAAGGCAATTTGAGTTGTGAATGTAAATAGGACAAATTTGTATATCTAAAATATGAAAGACCATTTGAGGATACTTCTTTTATTCATCTAACTACATCCGGTCTGCTTCATGGTTCTGTTAACTGAAGGGAAATACAGGTTTTGTATAAGCATGAAGAAGTAAAACTGTGTATCTATAGATTTATTCCTTTCTAACTGAAAAGTTCAAAGGATAACTCTGCCATCACTTTGTGCTAAAAGGTTATTTCTCTCTTCAGATTCACATATATCTTTATTCAGTCATCTTGATAGTCTTTCTTTTAATTAGCAAAATTACAGATTTTGAAAATTAAACAATTAAAAAGTGGATTTAAAAAACAACTACCTATTTTCAGTTTTGTTAACTAGCAATGGAATTTTGAACACACTTCCATTTATGTTCCAGAGCACTTGTGTGTTGGCTGCTAGGTTTTGTCTTTCTGTTTTTCTGCTTATAATCTGGGCCTGACATTTACCTGGAAAATAAGGTGAGTGAATCCTTTCTGGCTTTTCTACCTTTCCACCAGGATGCTATTAGCATCACTGTTTCAAGGCTCTGACTGGAGATCTGTTCATCGGTCCAGCAACCTCAGAGACATTAAGGAGAGTCAGTGCTCTGGGTATTTCCATCAAGGGCACTCCATCTCTGTGCTGTTTCTTCTCTCTGTTTGGGAAAGCTGCTATTCCTAGAACCAGTCAGGGGCACATAGAAAGGGGTTTTCACATCCACTGCCTCCTTTCCATTGAGTGTGGTGTCCCCAGCTTCCCTGTGCAGCTGACACAAGTGCCACTGCTCCACAGTGGTGGAATGGGAAATTCCCATATGCAACAGGGCCTGTTTTCCCATCCATCCTTCTCCTCTCCTCCAAAGAGAAAGTGGTACTTGTCTGGGCTAGGATTTCCTCTGCTTCCCGCAAGTGCCCACTGCTTTTTGGGAGCATGACATGAATCTCATGTCAGTGCTGGATGATTTTATTCTGGCTTC